GGAATAGGTCGTTACGATACAGCGTAATTTTAAACTCCCTACAGATGACATGTCCCATGTCTCGCACGCGGCGAGTGTGCATCTAGACCGTGAAGATATAGTCTTGTGTGTTAGAGTAATGTACACAGCAAGTATACTATTCACAGGCAATTAGCGTGTGAATGTCTCGCGTGCATGAAGCAAACAAACACAGCCATGGCTGTATGCAAGTAAGCAATGCAACAAGGTAGTCGTGTACACGACAAGGTAGCGCATCCGTCGGAACGCTACTGTATCGAAGGAAGGACCAAAATTACTATTCAATAGCACAATATCGATATTCAGGCATAGGACGTTGTCCAGAGCACGCACACGCTAATGCTGTTTGGGGTCACAGAGGAGATAACCATCACAATCAGCTGGTACGTTGTCAGTGATAGCGCTACAGTCAAAAGGTGCAAGTCACACAATGTAAAGTAGCTATGTGTCTTTATGGGGGATCATATATACACATCTAGCTGATTGGTAAAAGAAGCCAAAGTTCACTGACAATGAGAACACGCACGCTCATAGCACACAGAATATACATGACTAGCATTATTCAGGAGAACGGATGGATATGGTCGACAACTGAGTTTAAATGTACTTCTATGAGGCTCTCAATACAAAGCAGAGAAAGCACCACAGCTTACCCTTTGAAGTAGTCAATGTTGAACATCTCCCCCTTCACGTCGGCATGGTGGGATTTGACATATATGCCAGTTTTGAACGCCTGGATAGTCTCACAGGCAACCTACAGGAAATCGCATATCAATTTGGTACAGATAAGCTCATGGGACTGTTCCTCATGGCATACCTTAGCCACCAATGCTAGCCAGCTAAGCTAGTCAGCTATTCATTTTATGTATATGCACTATAGTGAGACAAAATGAAAATCTTCACTAATATGGAATTTACTGTAAGACAGGAATTGAATCTTTTATATAATATAGATGCTTTTGTAAGGTAAAATTTGAGCTACGCTGTCTTTTGAAAAGCACTCCCAGTAAGCAGAAATTAATATGAAGACTCAAGTACGACAGGAATTGAAAGGGTGAAGAGTCTCAAGCGATCGCCAAAGCTGCACAAATGACCACCTCGCATAGGGATGCGCTATTAATTTAACATCACGTGGTCTACGTATGCAACTCCATATCGAAGTACATGGTTCTTTATATGCACTTAGACTGACAGGTATTCTGAGAGTACTTGTTTCTTTGAATGTGATAGACTACCACTTCGCACAACATATCTCTTTGTAAGTGTCTAGACTATACTTTGAGAGTGTATGTTACTCTGTACAGCTTAGGCTATCAGGTTCATTCGCTTAAAAGGCACTCCATTGATATGCATACCTTCGGATTTTAACTTAAAACCCCTGGGACTTGCCACAAAGTCCCCAGATTATAAATAGTATATGTATGCCCGTTTCAAACGAGTACGCGAGCTCGAGGGGATCGCCAATACGTGTCCGTGATTTGTAGAACAAAACACATAAGATAGGTGAAATAGCTTATATAATTATAATTACAGCCGTGACTCCAAAAGGACCAATCACTTAGGTGCATCTCTTTGTGAGGTTAATGGTATTAGATAATATGTGATAGCAGACCAGAGTTCAATGACGAAATAATGCATTGAATTTGTCTCTATACCGATGTCTATGAACATCAAACATGATCTGAAAGCGCATGCATTTTCCTATACTTTATGTCTGGCCTAGCTCGTTCTAAACACATACGTTCCTGCAACAATATAAGGATATGTTTCACTTATCACGTAGTAGTCAGTCGCTCAGCTGAACAGTCAAAGCAGGTGGTCATTTCCCCATCTAAACACACACACACACGCATATATATATATATATATGTACAATACACACACATATATATTTATACCACACACACACACACATATATATATATATATATATATATATATATATATGTATTAGTTATTGTGTGTGTGTGTGTGTAGTAGTGTAGTAGTTAGTGTGTGTGTATATAT